TATCAAAAAATTTTACAATGATTGATATTGAACATACTGAATTTTCTAAATATATGATTATGTATGATTATAGTCTCAAACACTATATTGCAGCGTTTCTCAATCAGGGGGTCACGAACACCTTGAATTGGGGTCGCGTAGGTCAAAAATAATAAAACGCTGATTTATAAAATATAAATTCAAATCAAATTTTTACCTAATATAGATGGGGGAGGAGGGTCGCGAAGTGATTGACCATATTTTATACCTATTTTGGGAGTCGCAATACTAAAAAGGTTGAGAAACAATGCTATATTGCATATCCTATTATACATACATATTATGATTAGTTTTTATATTAATTATAATATAATTAAGCATTTTATTTTATTATTTTGTTACTTTTTAAATAATTTTTTTTGTTAATGTTAATATGTAATTTGTATTTGCCAAATAAGTGAATTTTTAATTTAATAAACAATACAATTTCTGTTTTCTGTATGTATTATATTTTAGAATTTTGTAATAATGAATACTTATTCAGTCGTCAAATTCACTGAAGACAATTCACTGGAAGCTGTGCCTACAAATTGGTTGAAAAAAAATAAATGTGCCTGGTCAATAACTAAAAACTATTCTACAATTAGAAAACTAATTGAGCGTAAAATTATCCCCAATGAAATTAAGTATACTTATTTCAATGCCAGATTATTGAAAACAACTGGTAAATTATTTAAAAATATAATTTTTAATAGGTATAGTATTTGGTTTATTTGGCTTGATTTTTTTTTTATTTATCTTTTATCTTGGTTTATTTTTAATTTATATTCCAAATTTGGGATTGTGATACTTTAATACACCACTGCATGACTTATAAGTTGTGTAAAACACCTGAATAAATCTACAGTAATGCTTATAGATAGCTCATGGTGTTCAAACCCATACATTAAGGTACAAAATGTTTACATTTTCAACAAAAAATTGACTATTTTAAGAGATATTTACTCTGATAGTGTTAAGGTTTTTTTTTTTTATAATAATACATATTAAAAATACATAAGTTTATCAAAGTGAAAAATAAGATGTACCTATGTTTAAAAATCATTTCATAAGTAATCCATACAAGGTTAATATCTATTATCTAAGCTAAATATGATTTCACACATGGTTATTATCTTGAATCTAATTTACATGTCACTATTATTAGGTAGCACAAAACAGCACTTAGCAAGACAGTCATGAGTTCTGCTTAAAGTATAACCTTAATAGTAAAATAAATATATAATAAATACTCAGTATAAGAACATTAATGAATTCTGTTGATTTTTCATACTATATTACTAATATTCATAGTTATACGACCTTATATATGTATACTTAAAATATTATAGATTCATTACTTAAAGCTCGAGAAATGACCAAAAAAGGTTTAACTAGAACTGATATATCAAGCTATATCCGCCAAAGACTATGATAATGTAAGGACTAAACGGAAGAGTAAAGTTACAACAAATTATATAATGATGCCCAGTTCCTTGTGTCCAACTTATTCAGGTATATTAATTATCTTATGTTTATAAAAAGCGTTTTTAAAAAAAAATAATGTTATTTAGCATCTGAGGATGATGATGACAGTGGTACTTTTTCTCATAAAACTAAAGTTAAAAATACACCGGGGATTACACATATAAGTGGATGGTCACCGTCTCCAAAAAAAAAGTAAATATGAGTTAAACTTACTTTTCTTAAATAGTTAAATATTATAAAATAATTCATCAAATTTTCATATATAGTTATTTTGATGAGTCCAATTTCTCAAAATATTGAAAGTGAAAGCTATTACAAGAAAACAGATCAAAATTCTCAAAACAAATCGGTTTCTAGAAAACTTTCTTATAGTAATGTAAAAGGTGGTATGTAGAATGTTGATACCTATGTGTGTATATATAAGATTCAGTCTAAAGGCTTTTGTGTTGAAAATGACAACATTAGGCAGTAAATGATGAAAATGCTAGTAAATAATGTATTTTTAACATTTCTCGCCTATGATGTATTTTGCCCATTTTTGTCTTTTACTATAACATAATTTAATATTCTAATTTAATTTATAGTAACTGATGATATTATTTCTAAAAAACCATTAAACAATGACACAATCAATAGTGATGAGGACAGTGTTGGCTGCAATAATAATGACATGATTATTGAAAATAATGTTGATCAAAATGTGACAAAACCCATTGAATCTCAACCAGGTAAATTAAAATGTAATAATTTTCTTACTACCAAAATTAATAATTACATAATATTTATTAATAATCATTATTCTGCAGGTATTCTAAAAATAAATGAGCATATTGTGAAAATAAATGACAAATTTAATATATCAGATTCTGATAACCATCAACTAATAAAATGTCATATAAATCTGTGGGCGAGTTATTTTGTTTGACCTAAGTTATTAAAAACAATCATAAAAATGTAGTATTATAATTTCCTGCAATATAGATTATGGTTTTCAAAAAGATGTCCTACATAAATTGGCTTTTATTAAGCATGAGTTACGGAGAGTTGTGAATAATCAATTAGAATTGAGCCAGAGATTTGAATACTTGGAGTCCAAATGTAAAGACATTACACATTATTCTAATAGTATTGATAACATGTCATCATTGAACTATATGAGTGATTGTACTTTACCTATGGACAATACAATTGACCTTCAGACGTTAAATGATAAAATATCTGGCGATAGCGCATTCAGGATTAATTTGGTATAGTAACAACCTACCTGTTTAAATATTAAATTACTTTTAAATAGAGCTGACAATTTGTTGGATAAGTGATTTTTTTTTTAACTTATTGCAAAATTTAATTTTCCATTATTTACTATATTTTTTATTTTAATCAAGGAACTATGGTAATTTTTTAAATGTATGACATTTTTTATTTATATAACGTTTTTCTTTTTAATAACATTTGACAGTTCATTATATTTTTAAACAAATAATTTGTATGGTGTTTTTAGTATTAAGAATTTTGAATGTAATGTAAATGGTCTTATTGCACATTACACATTCACGGCTCTTATTATTTTAAATTAATATTATATAACACATAGTTAATAAAATAATGTTCTGTTTTTTTAAGACCAATCAACTATCTTACATTGGTGGCAAACACAGTAAATCAATGATTAAAAGGATTATGAGTAAGCTCTTTACAGATGAGTTGTTAAAATTGTATTCATATAGTGGAAAGAAAGGAAAAGATAAATTTTCAAGTTTAGCCGTTTGTTCAGTCATATTTGGTATGTTATCTGAAATTGAATTGGTTTTATTATACTTTATATTTTAAACATTTATTTTATGTTTTATTATTTATTTTCAATAGTCGATAATCTAACATAAATGTGACTATACTATATGTTTTACCAGAATAATAGATTTCATTAAAATATATAGATATTTATAATGTATTCATATTTTTATTAATGCTCTTCTTATCTAAATAATTTTACATCTATCTAACTTCCTATCATTTTAAAATAAATAACTTCATATTATATTTTAATTTTAATACTTACATAGTACTATAAATTATAGTAAGTATGATATTATTGACTTGATAAAAGACGTGTTAGATTATCATATTGTTTAATTATACTGAAACTATTGTATATATTATTTTATTATTAATAATTCAATATATTTTGTTCTTATACAGATGCAGTAAAACAAAATCATAAATTCAAAAATGTTACTCAAAATGATATGGAGAAAGTTGTAAAATATGTATTGGCACAAGCTGCTTTTAATATAAAAAGACTTGAAAAAAATTAATGATTTTGTAGTAATGAAATTGTAAATTTTTATTTTTTATATTCATGTTTATAATTTATAATACAAGAGGTTATTTTTTATGTTTTTATATACATAAATATTGTATAAAAATATTATGAATAATAAATATATTATTATTATGTAATAGGCATTTTAATTATTTATAAACATACAGTATCTATACAGATTGTAAATATTCA